TATATATATAGTTCTTTGTTGTTGAACATCACAATGTCTAAATACCCATGATACAACTACCAAATGGGGAAGAATAAATCCAAGTGTCCTTGAACTGAAATGCGGGCCCTGCAACATGACAGGGATTATAGATGTTTACATTTTCAGGCCCCAGACTGCTCTCTTGTCACAGGGCCAGACTTTTTTCAGTTTTAGCCGCCTTCTTGTCTGCACCTGTATTGTTATTTCACACCAGTGGCCTCTATCAGTGAAATTAGAAAAGGAACTGAAAAGGTTGCCTTGTGTCCATGTGCCCATCTGGGAAATTACCTCTTCCTGTCACCTGCTTGTGTGCATTATATCAGGTAACACTGATGTCATCAATCATATACTCCTTAAAACAACTAATGGAAGGCTAACAGTAAATCACAGTGAGAAACTTACAGCATGTACAGTATATCACAAAAGGTGTAAACTGAACAACTACGAAGAGTTCATCCAGAGTACATCATTAACAGAAAAGTGGCAAATATTTCATCTGGTAACCAAATATACTGATGCTGCTCCTGAGGGCGGTGTCAAATTTCAAAACAAACAAACAAACAAACAAACAAACAAACAATTAGTCATGAAAAAAAACATTTTTTATACAGTTTACGCCATTTTGGTCACAATTAATTTAATTTGAAAAGGCGCAAAAGCATCTCTGAAGTTGAGATGTTTCAGATAAATTTAAAATATGGATCCAGCAGTTTTTTTTAAGCCGGTGTTTTCCTTTCACTTCCAGTAACTCAGTTTCATTATAACTCAGACCTCAAACAGAAATAAAAACAAACAAAAGTGAAGGTATCAGGCTAAGACAACTTTTCGTTTTATTTCATTTCAGCAACAAAATGATCTTTAATTTGTTCTCATCTGYTTTAATTTATTTTTAAGCAAAGAGAACGCCTACAGTTTTCATGCACATGAGGTTGAGATAAAAAAGGGAAAAAAAAACCCCGCATTAAACTCCATTATGGTGAACATCATGATGCTAGATGTTCTTACCGTAGAAAGTATTCCTGGTGATCTGACCCCCCATGGCTGGATGCAAGGTGCTTTCACCTCCTCTGGAACTGCGCGCAGGATCCACGCGTTCAGCCGCGCGCCCTCCTCCGCGTCATTACGGACCAGTCCGCGTGCACGGATAATATTTATAATAGATCTGTTTTTGAAAGTCCTCAGGGTTAAAAAATCAGGCGTCAGGCTGAGTCTGACCAAAAGCTGATGGATGTTGGGTGTCAGGCAGGCAGGCAGGCAGTCCTCAGAGCCACAGCGCTGCGTCTCCCTCAGATCAGGCTGAAATTARCAGAGAAGGTGGTGGAGGAGGTGGAGCTTCTCGGGCATTATTAACGCTGTGGACACCAAAGACACGACTGAGGCAGAGCGATGACTGCTGGAACATGAAACACCTCCACGGGCAACGCATGGGAAGCCCCACTTCTGCGCAAACTCCGCTTATTKTATGCGCATTTGTATGCTTCGTGTGCGCTCCCACTGTTCCACCTGTTGAATCACGTGTCTGTGCTCCTGATTCTCCCTCAGGTCACAGAACATTCATATTTAAATGGATCAATTTCTATAAAGAAATAAAAAAGCGTAGCATTGCTTAAAAAAAACACATCGCCCATCTCCTATAATACCAGAGTTTTAGATTAATTTTCTTTACGGCCATTTTGTTAAAATCCTGAAAAGAATGCAATATAAGATGTCACGCTTTGAATATTGTGGATGACTGTCAGCTACTACCACTTCATTTTTAAGCTCAAGCTTGTTCATTAGATATTTTGCTAACAGACAAGATGGAATCTTGCTTAAGCATCCAGTAAATGTATTTCAGCTACAATTACAACACATTTATTATGATATATAT